TTTATTTGATTTGGCCATGTCCCCATATAATATGAACATCACCAATCTTCATCTCCTTTTGACCACAAGACGTATAATAATCGAAGGTATCGAGCAATCTTAATAGAATTTAGGTTAATAGATTAACCTGTGCAATGCTCATTAATGAGTTATTCAATCACTCCTCACCACATCGTGAGTGAATAATATAATAATATGTTATAATAGTAAGTTATAACTTATGAATAATAATACACGTATACATATTATAATGGACCAGTGGAGTTGCAAAATATATATTTACGTCAGATCAATATTATGTTACCATATGGTTCTATTTCGTATTTTATAATATTAGTATTATATACAGTTATATTTATTATGATATACAAGTCATGCTCAATTTAAATTTAAAACAACCCCACAAAATAATCCTAGCAACGTGGACAGTCAGCATTATCATTAGATATCATTCACCGTTTACGGTAGACCATTTTATAATTTTTGTTTATGGAAATGTATATGGATAGTTTTGAAAAATATTGTATTACTTCTGCTGTTTAAAAGTTTAACTGTAGTAATTTGATGATTGAGGAAACACTCGAAAGTTATTCGATATACTCGTAAAGTTTTAACGCAACCGATAAGTGCGGATTACTGATAACAAATTGTTACATTGACTACTACACCAAAGCGCGATGGCCGATGAGTAGATTTATACCGTCCAAATTACGATTATAACTTATTAGCATTAACGTTCGACGTGGTAGCGTTGTAGCTAATACAAGTTATTAGCTATGTAGTTGTTTAACGTATTACGTCTGTACTTAATAATAATAATAATAATATAACGACGACGAGCACGGCAGATCGACACTGACCGTCATGAATCCCCTAGGGTCATTATAATTTTGTTACATAAACACCGACACGCTCGTGCAGATGGACGATTCGCGCATTGTTCGGTCACTACTCATTATACCTATATTATTATTATCGGTTGTACTGTTATCGGTGACTCGACCGGGACACCGGATCGATTAAACTATTGTAAGTCAGTCGACATAGTATCGCGCAACCGAGTGCACGTCGTTCGACCCTCTAAGATATTTGTATTATTAATTGTAATTTCAAGACATGTTTGCGTCAGCTAAATAAATTTATACCCAAAATAAAAAAAATCAAGTCTAGTAATTATTTTCATGAGTACCTACCCAAACCACGTAACATGAAATAAAAACATGGTCCTTCGGCCGGGATTATTTAGTTGATGCAAAATAACATTATATAATATCGCAGTTTAATTCATAAGAGCGTCTAGTGCTCATCGCGTAAATCTATCGTCCAGTGATTTTAAACGTGAAATCCAAAGTGCGTGTGCAATACTTCATTATAGAGAAGGACAAGGAAGAACTTCGTCAAGGAAGAACTTCGTCAAGATAGAACTTCGTCAAGGTCATCGAAGGCAGGTAAGCGAGTTGTTAATGGCACATAGTCTATAAGTTAGTGTTTCGGGGTTTATTTCCTTTTCCCGTTTACCTATTCCTAATATTGACATTATATATAAGCGTATATAAGTATAGCCAGTGGAAAGTGCGTGGTAGAATTAGACAGCGCATAGAATAGCGACGCAGTACACACTACAACATAGATAATACAATGAGTGAGCTGGCGAACCTTATCTTACGCCGGGGCCAGCTAAAAGGCCAATTAACTCGCACGGCAAATTATATCCGCGATAATAAAGGTAGTCCAGATATTGATCTAATTACGGTAAGATTGGAAAAGACCACAGAAGCATGGCATGATTTTCAACAAGTTCAGGCGCAAATTGAAGAAGAAGAAACCGAGATAACTAATGAGAGCGAGAAATACCGTAGCGAGTTCGAGGAGTTGTATTATGATAACGTAGCTAAATGCAATAAAATAATTAGAGCCGCGTCGCCAGGCGTTAATTCAAATCCGTCTAATCGGACTTCGAACGAATCCAGCAACGACGAAGCAAATGGTCATGCAAGCCTACAGCCCGTACAGTCGGCAATCAAGTTAGCTGCTATCGAGATACCAAGGTTTACAGGAGTGTATACAGAGTGGGCTGCATTCTACGATATATATATGGCGTTAATACACGAAAATAAATCGATGAGCGACATTCAAAAATTTTTTTATTTACGATCGTGTCTCAGTGGAGATGCGGAAAAGGTTATACATTGTCTGCAAACTACGGCGGAAAATTATCAAGTAGCATGGACAAGTTTAATCAGGAGGTACGACAACAAAAGGGTGTTGATCCAGGTACGCATGAAAGCGTTATTTGATCTAGAGCCACTGAAAAAAGAGTCGGCAGTACATTTGCGTACGCTAATTGACACGGTGTCCGGTCGTTTAAAAGCGCTTGAGTCGTTAGGACAAACTCCGGACAGTTGGGGCGCATTGTTATCTCATTTAATAACGTCAAAACTGGATGCAAACACGAGACGAGCATGGGAAAGCGAAGCGACCAAGATGGAAGATTTCAGAGTGCCAATACTAATAGACTTTTTAAAATCACGTTTTCGAATTTTGGAGGCGATAGAATCAAATAAAAACATGAATACGCAGGTACCAACAGACATTCCAAAGTTCAAGAAATCAGGGGACAGGTCTTCATCATTTACAACTACCACATCTTTCAGATGTTATAATTGCAATGGCTCACACTCAATTTATAAATGTACCAAATTTCTAGCACTCACAATACTAGAGAGAATAAAAAGAATTAATGACTTAAAATTATGTAACATATGCTTACGCGCACACTCCGACAAATGTAAGTCACGTAATTGTCCGAAATGCGCGCGTCCACATAATGGTTTGTTGCATTCGTCGCGCACCAACAATAACAATATGCGTACGGGCGGTGCGGGGAACAGCGGCGAATCGTCCAACACCACTCCACCTGCGGAGAACGATAGAAATGATATCGCTAATGAGGCAATGATTAATAGCGCACCCGCATCGGTAAATGCTCATGCACGTCAAAATAGTGAAGTAGGTCAGGTATTGTTATCGACGGCCGAGATTCTCGTATTCGACAGTCAATATAAACCGGTTTTGTGCCGTGCGTTACTGGATAGTGGATCGCAGCACAATTTTATGACCGAGTCATTGACCCGGCGTTTAAATTTAAACCGAATAAAGTCATCGTGTTCAATAATCGGCATTAATGATGCATCGCATACGTCAACGTACAAAGTAACAACTATTATTAAATCGCGTATATACGACTATTCATTAAATTTGGAATTTTTCGCACTTCCCAATTTAACGAGCAAGTTACCGTTGATGCCGGTCAATCTGACAGAACTGAAGGTCCCGGTGGATATAAGCTTGGCGGATCCATCTTTCCACGTGCCTAAAAAGGTAGATATCATTTTAGGCGCCGAAATATATTTTGAATTACTAACTAAAGAACAAATTCAGACAGTTTCACGGGGGCCAATTTTCCAGGGCACTCGTTTAGGTTGGGTTATCGCGGGACCCATCCCTTCGCCAACAAATCAAACAGAAAATTCAACATTTTCATTATGTACGAGCGTAATGTCCGAATTCGCAAGTATAGAAAATCAAATTGCCGAATTTTGGCGCTTAGAGGAGGTAAAGAATTGCAACGTATACACACTAGAGGAAAAAAGGTGTAAACAACATTTCGAGTCAAATGTAAAGCGTGGTGAAGACGGGCGTTTTACAGTAGGTCTACCTTTTCGTGACAATGCTCCTAGATTAGGAAAATCGTATGACGTAGCCCTTCGCAGAATGTTATCGTTAGAACGACGATTTCAAACCGATACCAAGCTCAAGGAAGAATATAGCAAATTTATGAAAGAGTACTCCGAACTTGGACACATGGAAATTACGAAAAACACGATTCCAGATGATAAAAGTTATTATTTACCGCACCATGCAGTTCGCAACGAAAGCAGTACTAGTACCAAACTGCGCGTGGTCTTCGATGCGTCGGCGAGAACAAGTACTAACGTAAGTCTAAATGATGTGCTTCTAAAGGGACCCACCGTACAAGAGGATTTGGTCTCTATAATGACGCGATTTCGTATACACAAATACGTATTCACAGCTGATATAAAAAAAATGTACCGGCAGATTTGGGTGTCGGAAAGCCAACGTGATTTCCAGCGCATTTTGTGGCGTGAAGACCCAAGCCAGCCACTAAATATATATCGACTAAAAACTGTTACGTATGGCATAGTCACCGCTTCATACCTGGCAACGGCCTGTTTACAAAAATTATCCGAACAAGAGTCGTCAAAATTTCCCGAAGCCTGTCAGGCCCTAAGTCGTGATTTCTATGTAGACGATTTTCTCGGCGGAGCTATGTCAAAACAGTCTGCATTAAGATTACGCGATGACCTAATAACGATTTTGAGGGGCGCTGGTCTAGAGCTGTGTAAATGGTCGAGCAACGATCCCGACTTGTTGCTTGGTGTTGAAGCAGTACCAAGTGCCAACAATGATTTAGATTTGCAGTATACGGAAAATGTTACAAAAATTTTGGGACTTTATTGGAATAAAGACATTGATGCATATCAATACAAAGTGTTAATGTACAATAACAAAACGCGACCAACAAAACGCGCGATATTGTCCGAGATTGCCGCAATTTTCGATCCGCTTGGTTTAATAAGCCCTGTAATAATTTGTTTTAAAATCATAATGCAAAAAATATGGCAAACGCGGGTAGATTGGGATGCAACGTTACCAACAGAAATTGAAGGCGAGTGGCGCAAGTGCCGTGCAAATTTAATACATTTAAACACGTTAAAAATTACGCGTTCGCTCGTGGGTGATGGTGACATTGCGGATATACAATTACATGGGTTCGCGGACGCATCACTTACAGCATATGGCGCTTGTCTATATCTCCGCGTAAAAAACTATAATGGTGAGGTCATAACTAATTTAATTTGTTCGAAATCGCGTGTCGCACCATTAAAAACAATTTCATTGCCACGTCTAGAGCTATTAGCCGCCGTCCTACTAGTGCGGCTGGCGGCTAAGTACGCGACGAGTTTATCTATACCAATTGAGCAAAAATATTTTTGGTCTGACTCTACCGTCGTTTTATCTTGGATATCGTCGGAATCGGCAAGATGAAAAACATTTGTTGCACACCGCATTGGCGAAATACATGAAACTACGTCGATTTCGCAGTGGCACCACGTCAGCACCAAGGATAACCCGGCAGATATAGTTTCGCGCGGCTGTTGTCCTACAAAAATCGGTGAATCAAATTTGTGGTGGAGGGGACCTATGTGGTTGCACAAAGATGTTTCTGATTGGCCGAAAGAAAATAATATCTATAGTAGAGCGGACGAAGTTTTATTAGAAGCGCGAACGGTATCTCACGTAATTACAGACAGGTATGATTTGTCGATCATAGAAAGATACTCATCTCTAACGAAACTAATACGCGTTACTGCATTTTGCCTACGATTTATTAATAATGCGTCGAAGAAAGAAAATTTAATTGGTGCGCTTCAGGCAGATGAAATCGACAAGGCTGCGAATAGTATTATAAAGTTAGTGCAAGCTAGGAATTTTGCAGGTGAGATCAAGGACTTACGTAAATCAGGCCAAGTAAGCTCAAAAAGTGCATTGTTACGCCTGCATCCGTTTTTAGATAAAAATGATTTGATCAGGGTGGGCGGTCGCCTAGGAAATGCACTTACTCTAAATGAATCGCAGCAACATCCGATAATTTTGCCTGCGAAAAATGTTTTAACCAAATTAATATTTATACACGAACATGATAGATTAATGCATGGCGGCCCACAGGCTATATTATCCGCGGTTCGTCAAAAATACTGGCCACTTAACGGACGCAGTATTGCGCGTAGCGTTGTACATCACTGCATAAAATGTTTTAAATATAGACCTGCTGTCGTACAGCCTATCATGGGTGATCTTCCCGAGGCTCGTGTACAGCCTACACGGGCATTCAAAAAGACAGGTGTAGATTTTGCGGGTCCATTTATGATCAAGTCCAGTTTAAGGCGGAACGCTCCATTGAATAAGGCATATGCTTGCTTATTTGTTTGTTTTATTACTAAGGCGGTGCACGTAGAATTAGTAGGCGACCTGACCACTCAAGCGTTTCTTAATGCGTTGCAGCGGTTCTGTGATAGACGCGGACTGTGCACGGACATTTATTCCGATAATGCAACGAATTTCGTGGGCGCCAACCGTCAACTCCAAGAATTGCAAGCACTTTTTCAATCTGCTGAACATCAGGAGCGTATTCAAGACACATTATCCAAATCAAGTATTCAGTGGCACTTTATACCACCGAGGTCACCACATTTCGGCGGCCTTTGGGAAGCGGCTGTGAAGTCGCTGAAAGCTCATTTATATCGTACACTAGGCAATGCCTCACTCACCTTTGAAGAGTTGAACACTATATTAATACGTGTAGAGGCAATTTTAAATTCGCGACCTCTAACTCCTTTGTCCTCACATCCCTCCGATTTATCCGTTCTCACCCCCGGCCACTTTCTTATTGGTGACGCATTAACTTCGCTACCCGATCGTGATGAGAGAGATGTCCCGACCAATCGGTTGTCGAGATGGCGACGAGTTGTGCAGTTCACGCAACAGTTATGGGCCCGTTGGACGAGGGATTATCTAACGCAACTCCAGGAAAGGACAAAATGGATGAGCTCCAGCGGCCCTAAACTCGGAGTTGGTACGGTCGTGCTCCTGCGCGACGACAATATGCCTCCGCTCCAATGGTCCATGGGCAGGGTAGTCGAGGTCATTCAAGGTTCCAATGGGCAAGTACGGGTGGCCAAGGTGCGAACTTTCCCGGGCAGTTCATTATTTATGTCCCCTTCCCTTCGAGGGCAATTCACCACTTGATCAACAGTAAAAAAAAAAAAAAAAATGGAATTATTTAATATTTATAGTAATTATATGTCATGATTTATTTTTTTTTTGCGTATCCACGCCTATTACATATGTATTTTTTATTTTTTATGCCAGGTATAAGCTGTTAATTGTATAACAATATATATGTTAATGTGCAGGATAATGTATCTGTATAATAACTATAAGAAAATGTTGAAACTTAATGTTCCAAGGTGGGCGGCATGTTCGGTCACTACTCATTATACCTATATTATTATTATCGGTTGTACTGTTATCGGTGACTCGACCGGGACACCGGATCGATTAAACTATTGTAAGTCAGTCGACATAGTATCGCGCAACCGAGTGCACGTCGTTCGACCCTCTAAGATATTTGTATTATTAATTGTAATTTCAAGACATGTTTGCGTCAGCTAAATAAATTTATACCCAAAATAAAAAAAATCAAGTCTAGTAATTATTTTCATGAGTACCTACCCAAACCACGTAACATGAAATAAAAACACGCATAAAATATCTTTAAGAACTCTCCAACACTATATGGACCTATAATATTAAATCGTGCACAGTCATACACTAGCAAGTCAAACAGATTTATAAAGACTGCTTCGTATTTTACTAACGAAGATGCACCTCCGGGCAACCTCCCTTACACCATCAATATTATCCGCTCACATATTATGATATTACAATAAAATAAATTGGGTGACGCGTCATTTGATCCGGTAAATAATATCCGGCGGCAAAAGATCCACGACATTTGGTCCGGTGAAAAAATATCCAGTACCAAAAATATCCGGGGCAAAAATATCCGATAATTTATTTTTTATTTTTTAAATAATTTAATTAGTTAATACATTTAATAAATAATATTATAATCGAACGTTTTTTAAAAACATGTTTATATTTAAGTAAAAGCTTAGTAAAAATAAAAATAAGTGGAAATATCTCTATAAGTCAAGACATTGGATTTTTTCTCCTTCTACGAACTGTATGCCCAATCCATGTTTCTTCGAAATAATCTATTATTGGTTGAAGAACTTTTTCATTATCAACAAAATATTGGGAATTCAAAAGTTCTTCAAAAGCATTTGCTACATCTTGAACCGGAATAAAAGCACACAAGTGTTTTATTTGGAGCGCAAATAAAGAATCTTCTCCATATTTTTTTTATAGACCATTAGTCTGTATTTTACGCCAAACACATTGTCCAAAATGGAAAAAACATCCTTTTATTACTGCATTAGGTTAGTTTTTACTAAACTTTTACTTAAATATAAACATGTTTTTAAAAAACGTTCGATTATAATATTAAATTCATTTGTGTTACTATTAAAAATAAAATTATTATTTATTAAATGTATTAACTAATTAAATAATTCAAAAAATAAAAAATAAATTATCGGATATTTTTGCCCCGGATATTTTTGGTACAGGATATTTTTTCACCGGACCAAATGTCGCAGATCTTTTGTCACCGGATTTTATTTACCGGATCAAATGACGTGGAACCAATAAATTGTTATCGTATACGATATAAATAATGGTACCTATTATTGTCATAGTACCATGACACGAGCAAACCACCGCGAGACTTCCGTTCCGGTAGTGTTTTTTTTATTGTCATTTTACGCGAGGAGGAGGAGCTTGGCTCGTCGTTACTCATTATACTTCTTGTTACACAAGCCGATCGACGAGAATATTATTATTATATTATAACACCGTCATACCCATACGTCCATCATCTGCAGAGTGCCAGAGATCGCAATATGATTATATAATATCGTCGATTCCACGGTAATTATTGTATGTCTGTATCAGGTGACTGGGTGGTTTTTCGAGAAGAATATCATTTTACACGATTCTCACTCAAACGTCCGGGTAATACGCCAGTGAAGGTACTCCATTCAAAATCTATCAGATATTTTAAGAACAATTTAATATAATGCAAAAGTTTTAACCTTAATGGTTTTTATAAAACTAGGTATATATATTATGTCAGTCTTCGTTTCGATTCGTTGCATAGGCGTGCGTACGCGTGCAGCGACTGGTGCTTTTGCTGCACTTGAAAATGCATTTTAATTGACCAGTAAAATATTCTTTTAAATAGGTATTTAAAAAATTTAATTTAATTTTAAATTAAAATATGAATGAAATGATAATAGATACAATTATTTACCAACGCGATAAGTTTCAAAAGTAAAAACTGGTGGGCTTTCTATTTACAGACGTATAACCGTACGTGTGCATACACACTAGGTATATAGGTACGCACATGCACAACCATATTGTACAATACTACAATGTACTATATAAATTATTTACAGACAATAAGAGGACTATTGTCAGAGCACCGTTTGTTTTCTCCCTCTGGCCCACGCACAGCATAAACATTTATGCAGAATACAATTTTTTTTTAAAATCACTTATTACAAAAATGATAAAGAATAATATTTTTGAAGGTACCTATGACAATATTCTCTCAAAACCATTTAAATTTATAAAAATTTTTTATATTTTGAAATTCGAATACAAAATCAAATAATAATAATTTATAAAACCGTTACTTCATAACTTCAAAAATATTATGTTCTATAATTTTTGTAATAACTTATTACAAAAATTATTACTATTATTACTATTACTATTATTACTATTATTACTAATAAGTAATTTTACTCCAAGATTACTCAAAAATCGTAAAAAGAAGATATGAACGAAATATTTTTTTCTCAGACCCACAATAGCAACCATAACCGCAAATAGACTTTGGGATTTGGGGGTTAAAGAATTACTTTGATAATACTGAATAAGCTTAAAACAAAAAGTAGCAAATGTTTTTGGAGCTATGGAAATTTTTTGAGTTTCTTAGCCCCTACCCTCCCCAACCCCTTTTTGCGCATATGCCAAAGCAATATAGATAAACCCGTTTTTTATGATTTTTAAATGATTTTATAATAAAATGAACTATTACAAATATTATAGAAGATAATATTTTTGAGGGTATGATATCAATTTTATATTTTATTGTTATTTGAATTAGTATTCGACTTTTAAATATAACAAAAAAAGGTGAATTATTATGAAATTTTGAAATTTATATAAATTATTTAAAATTTTTTTTTCAATAAAAAGTACGTTCGTATTTTCCTTAGCCATTTTTGAGACCACGAAATGGAAATGTGCAAAATAAATTAGTCCCTAACCTTGTTTATAACTATATTGTATAAGCTCGTTTAAAACTATAAACAGTTCTCGTAATTATAAGGTCTTATTTGTTGATAATTTACAATTATATATAACGTTATACTATTATTATACGTTTGCCTGATACTATTATTTTCTAAAAGTAAATTTACTATAAGTTATGACGAAATAATATCATGATGCACGAGGTTTTAAAAGCTCACTATAGGTTATCAATAATTATAATTTTCACAGTTTCTCTATTTATCGATATACGTGAAAATAACTTCATATTTTTGAAGACTTCAATAAGCGACGAAAACAATGTTACAATCGTTTATTACTCTTCGGAATATTTTCAATTGTAAATTATTATTATTATTATTATTGTTGTTATGTACATTGGCGTAAGTCCAAAGCCGTACTGTCAATATTTTTGTTGGACGTTAAATTATGTCTCTTAGACACCATTGTTTTACAGGCGGCCGACATCAAACACACGCCAGTCTAAAAAGCACTTTTCACGACGCCAGTTGTCTCGAAATGTTTACCTTGTGGCTAGTGCATATATGTTGTTCAGTACTACTATTATTATTCCTCACTAAAATATTTGAAAAGGAATACGTATTGTTGAACAATGCTGCTGCAGCTGCAAGAAAATATGAGCAAAATACGACAAATACTACGGAAATAACAGAAGAAATAATATAAAACCTTTCAATCTATATTGCGTTCATTTTGTCACCAAACGTCAGAAATGAAATTCCACTGATACCATTATAATTTTTATTTACAATTTATTAATATTCGACTACCGAAGTTTTCCAAAATATTTGCAAAACCCCTCTACATATTGTTTAATATTAGGTACCGAATGTTCATATACATATTATAAAGTAGGTACTGAAACATATACTATGCAAACATAATATAGATAAAGTTTTAGTAAATTACTAAGAACTTATTTGAACTCCACGATTATTAACTTTAATTAATTTATAACATTAAAGTCGAACAAAATAACTGTAAAATATAAAATATTCCTTTAATGAGATTTAAGTTTCTAATAGCTTTCAATGTTGTCAATTGAAATAAAAACTGCTAAACAGTCACCTATATTGTAAGTGTGATTAAGAATTCGCTGAAATTAAAGCCAGAAAAGTGAAATAAGCTTGCAATAGGTTTTTTTTGTTGATATTAAGCTATACGTTTTTAAGCAGCAGGTTAATATTATAATAGTTTTTCACATTACAGGTTTCCAATATATATATTAATAGAATTATTGAATCCAATATTTTTCTAAATTAATTATTAAGGGTAATTTTGCGCTTTTGAAAATTAAACAAGAGATTTAAAAATGGGGTATTGTATTATTAAATAAGATTTTAATTATATTGTAAAGTGTATAATAGCCTAATGCAATCGGATAGCAAATGGGAAGTTAATTTATAAAATTATTTGAAAATTGAATTGAAATAAAACAAATCAGATTGCTTATTATAACAATACGTGTGTACCTACTGTGTGGGCGGATAGGCACAGTTTTCCTTTCGTATCGTTTATATTCGGAAGGTATAAGACATTAGTTGTAGATATAGTAGTTTAACAATATTAAGTCAGTTTAATTATTATTATTTTTTTATCATAGAAAATATGAGTACCTATAATAAATTGGCCTACCTACTGCAGTATTATGCCTACCTAGTAATAATAGTAGCCTATTATAAACAATTACAATTTTAAAATGTTCGATCATCATATAACTAGATGACCTCATCAAAATCAAAGTAGGTACCCCAAAAAATAAAAAAACTAACGGGTGAAATATTGACATTTTGACAATATTACCTTAATGTCAATTTACTCAGATATGAAAAATAACCAAAACGAACAAATAATCGAACCACAGACGGTCATAAATACACTACCTATACATATAATAATAAAGTATATATGTTACGGGTAAAGTACAAAATATGGTTAGTGTTCACATTATCCGGGTAATGTGTACACTACCTGTACCTATTGGATAAAGTAAAAATACTATTTATAAAACGTTTATTTCGTACTTTACTCGGGTATTTTACACATTATCTACGACTGAGTGGGTAAAGTACTTTGATAAAATGTATACCTACGATAAAATAACGATTGTAGATAAATGTTTATGAAGAAACACACGCAATAATATTTAGTAAGGTGCTAGTTCGTCTTAATACACGCGTCGTACATATAATATAGGTTTTTAAAATGACTTCACGCGAAAAATTTTATGAGTGTTTTTATAAAATAGTTAATGAAAAAAATAATAATTCAGTTTATTTATCGGCAGTTAAGTATAACGAAATAGTTTCGGAAATTAAAAATGTGAGATCAAGTGGAATAAAAAGTAACAAGGCATATCGAATTTTGAAAAGATACGACCTCATTACTATTGGAGAAGAAGATAAATTAATATTGCCGTTGTTGGAAGGTAATACAAACATTTTGTACTATATTACTAATGAAAGTATCTATGATGTGCTACACGATGTACATTTGAGTATTGGGCATGGTGGAAAACACCGCATGAATGCTGAAGTTAAAAAAAGTATAAAAATATAACACAAGAAGCGGTGTCTATTTACTTAAAGTTTTGCGAATCGTGTCAATCTAAACAAAAATCTAAAAACAAGGGTCTAGTGATTAAACCAATGGTGTTTTCGGAAATGAATAGTAGGTGCCAAGTGGACCTGATTGATATGCAGTCGCAGGGGGATGGAGAATTCCGGTTTATTATGGTATATCAGGATCACCTTACTAAATTCGTTCAACTAAGACCCTTAAAAACAAAGAGAGCAGAAGAAGTCGCAAAACACCTTATCGACATATTTTGTATTTTCGGAGCTTCGATGATATTACAATCTGACAATGGCCGCGAGTTTGTGAATAAAATAATAGAAGACTTAAAAGAAATGTGGGACACACTGAAAATCGTTCACGGAAAGCCACGCCACAGTCAGTCACAAGGAAGTGTCGAGAGAGCAAACCAAGACATACAAAATATGTTGATAACATGGATGAAAACAAATAACTGTAAAACATGGTCAGAGGGACTTCGATTTGTACAGCTAATGAAAAATAGGGCCTATCACGATGGCATTAAAAGATCTCCATACATGGCCATGTTTGGTACTGATGTGAAAATTGGTTTGTCATCATCTTTACTACCAGCTGAAACAGTGGAAAAATTAACCACTGAACAAGAATTGGAAGAAATATTGCAAAGTGTCGTGTCAAACTATGAACAAAGAGAAAATCATAGTGTTTCCGATAAAGAGGTAAATTGTTGGCAATATTATAGTCGTTATACCAGATTTAATTACTTCTACTTTTTTTCTTAACAGGACAGTACTGTATCTAATTGCTGTGAATCGTGTGGCTGTACTCTTGGTAATGAACAAACATCTATTTGTGGTTTATGTGATAAAAAAGTAATTATTACAAAACAAGTTTTATTTAGGAAAAAATGTTATTTATTTGTATTAAAAATGTTTCAGAACACCATAGAAAATGAGAGAAGCAATTCAAAATTATCGCTTGAGCAACAAGCAAAAAAAATGAAGTTCAGATCCATCAACAAATTCCCACCATGCAATGTTGGCGACACAGTTAGAGTCAAACTACCAGAAGTAGACAGAAGTAAGGGTGATCCACAGAATGTACTCTTTGCGGTTGTGTCTATAAGTGATAATCAATATTACGAACTCGGTAATAAAAATGGCACTCTTCATCAACTTTATTCCAGAAATCAATTCACTATAATATTATGCTCTGAACCATTAATAGATATTTTAGAAGTTTTAGCCACAAAAAATCTTTGCGTGAAATAGCTAATGAACAATCTTTTTCCGGTGGTCAAGGTTTTAAGAAGTGTTTATGTAAAACTAAATGTTTAACAAATAAATGTAAATGCAAATCCGGGGGAATACTTTGTAATTCTAAATGTCATCCAAACTCAAATTGTTCTAATAAATAATTGTATTTCACTTTTAAATTTTAATTAAGTAAATAGTAAAATTGTTCAAATATATAATTTATAGTTTAATAGTAATAATAATAAATAATTTTTTTTTGAATTAGTATAATTTGGTTTTTGCTACTAGAAAGACTTTGTATAATCCGTACCATGTTAAGTGTTTGATGCGTTGGTTATGTTGTACCGAAGTTATAAGTTTACGATTATAGTTATACGAATACATTATCCACAGCACACCGGATAATGTATAAATTGATTGGATACTACATATTTAAGTTGGATAATGTATACATTACACTGTTCGTATGGATGAGGTTCACATTACCCGGGCAATATGTACACTAACCGTTTTTGTACTTCACCCGTAACATATACATAAATGTGTATATCATCGTATGATAATAATATTATAGTTACGCGTTTATAAAACGGAGGTGACAAATCTTGGCGGTATCACGTCCTGTCATCGCATTTCGATTTCGCACTATAATATTACGTTACCGTATGTCGATAATATTATACGATGCCACGTTGCAATAATATAAGATCAAAATATTATTATAATATAATATTGTATAATACGCGAAGCTTCAACGGACCGATGCATACGAATGCATAATACACTACCATAATAATATAATAAACGTCGAAACCTAAATTCATAACTAGGTGCGATGTAAAATTATATTGTAATGCAGATTGACACAGTGATTGGTACATTATTGTTATGACATAATATATAATATTATGTAGTATACTAGGTATATACCCAACAGCAAATATATTTAGGTATGAACCACGGGGGCACGATTTTAATAAAATAAAATGGGAGTTTGGAACTGCTGAAGGCTCAGGCGTCCACTCAGGATTTTTGCTTGGGAGGAGGGGGCTTACACATTTTCCTGATTTTTCTACACACAAGTAAACAACTGCCGTCGACAGTCATAA